CGAATTTCGACCATTCAAATGGCAGATTAATAAGAAATTACAATAATTAACGTTTGTCCAGAATGAGAATTTCAATATTCCGTACAACACACATAACGTGCTCGTAAAGCCTTCTTATGAACGTTCCAACACTTTTGTGAGCAACTGTGCTTCGTTATTCGTCTAACGATGAACGTGATCACACGTTAACCGGTCTGACATTGTCGTCAGACTGTTGCTGTTCACCGCTTTGCCAACCCGAGTCCAACGTTGTCGAGTCACTCAAGCAACACTGAGGTGTTTCTTCTTCCTGGCTGCTTCTGTAATCTCTGTAGTCCCTCCCTCTTTCGTTCTCGTCCTCCCTAAAGTATCCCGAGGTTGCGGGACCTTCTTGAAGTTGTTCGTCGTCCTTCGACGTGTAGTAGGAGTACCGACCTTGTTGAATCACTTCATATTGAGCGTCAGGCGCTAGAAATGGCCCTCTGGCACTCCTCGGCTCGTCACTGTTCGCGTAATTATCCGATGGCATGTCTCCATTGTCTGATGGTAATGGTAGAGGCATTCTGGATCTTTTCGACAGTTGTCGTTTGCCTAAACGAGCTGCCAGGTAGTCTACACCCTCTGAATGCTCTGTGCCTGTGTGAAAATTGGCGCGAATGGTCAGAACCAATGGCGAGCTTACAATTAATTAATTAGTTATACATTGCTTGCCAAATGAATTGCAGTAGTTACAAATTGATACACAGACTGATTATACGTGGATTATTAAGATTAAAATAGAAAGGTGCAAGTATGTTAATTATTGGCCATTTTTGCAAAACTCCAATTAGAAATTCATCTATTTTCTTTTTTGTGAATCGTACAATTAAAAAATTGTACGATTGCAATTTTCTGACAAGCAGTATATTACTCACAGCAGTAATTATTCTATTTTAGCTTCTCCCCATTTTGTTTATCGTAGTTTACCTTCCTTCTCGACCGCCAAATCGTAGAAACTACTCTCGGGCCCGCAACAAGACGAGACATCACCAAAGTACAGTTCACTTTCCGATTGCTTTGGTCCAGCATTCGCTTCCTGCTGGAATGCATTGTTCTCCACACCTTTCAGAGGCTTCCTGGTTCGTCTTCCTTTCATGGTGCCCTCGTTGCCCCCTTCTGGATCCGTGCTGTTTGAGATTTCCTCGGCGTTCTCGTAGTTGTCGGACGGCCGTTTCGCGGATCGTAGCCTGTGATCTGCATAAATGGAATTTTTACTAATTTTTATTAAATGCATAGGCAAAGTGACAAATGTGTTTTACACATGTGAGGTACAAAATAAAAATAGCTGAGATTGTTAATCTGATAAATGGCCAGTTTCAAGAAACTACTAGAATTTAGGAACAAAGATTGTCGCCAGACGATACTAATTAACCACTGATTGCAATTTTATATTTGCAGTAATATACTAATATTACGTAAATATTAACATTGGTAATTTTACTATTTAATGTCAATATCATCGATCAGTCAATCAGTCAATAATATTAACATTATTAACACTCGTTATCTATACAAAATTCTTGCTGTTGCGTTGATGAATCTTTTTTTACGAATTTCAATCCTCACCTTCATTGTTCTCAAAATTCTCTATTCGCTTGGCAATTCTGGGCCTTTGTTCGGTAACTTGAGGTCGCCTAGCCGGGCTGTTAGGGTCGCTGTAAGGTGGCGGAGGACCCCATAGCGGCACTGGAGTCTCCAAGACACTGTAAGAAGCCGTGCTCGGCGTGTACGGCCCGTTTTGCGCGTTTAACACCGAGTAGGGACCACTCGATTGAGAATTAAGGACACTGTACGGGCCATTCGTGCTCTCCACGTTGGCCTCCGTTTGTCTAGTCTGAGTGTGAAAACCGTAATTCGAGTCTGGACTGGGTGCCGGCCCTCTCGATCTGGACCAAGGCAATCGCCACCTTCTGCAAACGTAGAGATCGCGAATTTTGAACAATTTGTTTTCTCTTTTGTAAGAATTAATGAACTTGGCGAGGTGATTTTTCAGAGTTCAAACGTAGATCACTCGTTGGCTTGCAAGTGATTTATTTTAGACTGAAATTTAAATATTCAAATTCGGGATTTCATTTCTGCGTTTCTTGCATTCTTTGCGATAAGATAGATTTAGTAGAAAAATTCGAAATTAATTACACTTTTGTGGTGTCTACTTCCCTCCTCGCTGCTCCAATGATATCAGTTAAAAGTTAACGCATTGTTAAATTTAAAAAAATTACTAGAAATACTCGAAACACTAACGAAGATGCAATCTAATCTCAATTTAAAGATGACCGATTTGCCAATTGCGAATATACTCGAGATTACATGTTATTGTCCGCGCAAGGAGCGAGCCTTGAACAGAGGAAACAGATCATCCACCGCGTGAGAAGAGTCTCTTTTTCTCACAGAACTGAACATCTCGTAGAAAATACACACCACTACGAATTAATGAAGAGAGACACGATCGGAAATTTTTTCGCCGAAATCAATTCGGCCGAAGGGGGCTGAACGTCAAAGAGCCGTGTGGCTGTGCTCGTCCGTCATAATTTATTTCCGAGACGAAGAAACCAGCGGTCTGAATGTCAGAGGAGAGGGACCGGAATCCCGAGGTTTAATTAATGCCATACATTAGCGGATTACCGGAATACAATGTGGATCCTGGGATCCAGCCCCGGGGATCGTTGGCTCGTTTACGAGTTTATTGCACTCGGCGTCCCGATATTCGTGATACTCGTGAATGAAATCTATTGAATATGTATCGTTACGTTGCTCGCCGCGAACGAATCATTGCACGCGCACTGCACGGTGCATTTGAATCCCATCAATAATTTCTCAATGAAGCTGGCCGAGCATTGAATTTGTGAACAGCGGCTCGTCATACGTGCTATTATCGTGCAACTTTTACGAAGGCGGTTTAAATGATGTTAATTCAATCGTGTCTTCCGATGCATTGACATTGAATCGACAGAACGCGTCGCGCGTTCCCAAGGTTGGATCGATTGGAGAAATTTCGCGACTGGAAGATTTACAATTTTT